GGAATGGGGTCCTTGAGTATAGAAGTTGGAATTTTATTGATGGGAGAGTAAACAACCCGAAAGTTAAATTTCTGCAAAATATGTGCAACTTTATAGCTAATTGATGGAAAGAAGGGAATGACAACAGAATTTTTATAGACAACAGAATTTTTATAATCTCCTAAAATAAGAGTGTGGCTTTTAGTGTGTTGAGATGAGAATTTTTTAACTGCTTGATTAATAATGTTGGGTGAAAAGCCCCTGTCAATAGCTATTGCTTTTAAATAATTTAGTTCTTCATCAAGGGCTAGTTTGGAGGAGCAAACTTGAAGAGCACGGAAAACATAGGAATAAAATGAAGCTAACTTTTGTTTAGTCGGATGACATGATTTAAAGTGTGGTGGAAGGCAAACCGATGAAGGTTTACGGTAAACTGTAGTACTGAAGTTGGATGTGTTACGTGTGACCAGAATGTCGAGAAACGGAAGAGAATTGCAAGTCTCAAGTTCAAAAGTGAACTGAATAGCAGGATCAATAGAATTCATTGTTGAAAGAACTCTATTTAAATCATCTTTATTACCTTCAAACAGGGTAAAAGTATCGTCTACGTAGCGGAACCATGCCGGGAAGTTTAAAGTTTCAAACAATTTTGATTCATAATAATGCATGTAGATATCAGCCAGGATGGGACTGAGGGGGCTTCCCATGGCTAATCCCTCAGTTTGCTTGTAATATTTATTTTGGAAAACAAAATGTGTTTGTTTCAAACAGAGTTGAGTGAGAGAAATTAGCTCATCAATTTCGATGCAAGAGAAATGAAATTTCGCGAAGTCTGGTTTCTAGACATCTTAATGCACCCTCCACTGGGACATTGGTGAATAATGATTTTACATCAAAAGAAACCATGAGTAAATTACGAGGAGAAATGTTTTTAACCTTTTTTACAAACTCTATTGAATTTTTATGGTGTAAATGTTATTGTCTAATAGAGTGGAAAATCTAGAAACTAAATATTTAGCTAATGGATACGAGGCAGTACCTAAATTGATACAATAGGGCGGAAAAAAGGAATACCACTTTTATGAATTTTGGGAAGAGCATATAATCTGGCACAATTCGCAACAGATGGGATAAGCGAATGTGTTTTAAGTTGCTTGAAATGATTTGCGAAGATTTGATCACAGTTTTTTTATTTTGGATAAGTCCGAAGGTGAAGGATCTTTAGGGATCGGATTATATGGTCCTTCGTTTAAGAGTTTAGTGACACCATCGATGTAAGTGTTCTTATCCATGACGACTATCTGGCCACCTTTGTCGGCCTTTGAAATGACAATATCCGGGTTAGAATGAATCTCGCGCATTGTAGCTCTTTCTCTCGCAGTTAGATTTGGTTTCAAAGGTTTATTATTGAATTTCACATTATGAGCGATAAGATGCCTAATCATTTCTTTCTGTGAATCTGAAACTTTACTGAACTTGAAAGCTTTTTTCGATAGGAGCCAAAATCTTTGGAATCGAGGGTTTACAGGTTTGTGAGAAGTTAAAATTATATTTTAGAATTCTCTCTTGTTCTTCTGAAAGACTAACATTAGAAATATTAACTATTGGCTTGATGTTTACAATTTTTTGAACTACTTGAATTGGGAGACTGTAAAAGAAGTTTTTGTTGTTGTGCGAAAGTGTTGGTCCGAAAATCACACTTTCAATTTTTCTGCTGCCAAAATTATTCAAAAAACATCTTCCATTGGAGAACTGGATTTTCTAGAGGCATTTCACATTCATAAAAATCTTTCTGTTCTAGTTAACGATCCTAATTCCAATCCAAATTTGCCTTCGGCTTTTAGAGAAATTATGTTTTAGTTCTGGTTTCGCCAACAGATGGCGCCACTTGCTTATTCTTGTCCAGGCTTTCTTATCTTATCTAAACATTATTTCCTATCTTGTTCATTTGCGGTTTTGCAGCTGAAGATGATGGTTCGGTAAAACCATCGAAACTAGTCCTGTGAAAATTTTGTAAATTAACGCTGATTTTTGTTGTTTGACTTCTGAATTAGTATTTATTCGGCGTGTTATTGTGTCTTAATTATAGAAGCCCCAAACAGGCTTACATTTTGCTTTCTTTTTTGCACGTGGTGTGGCCGCCATTTTGTGATTGTAGGAGTTTCGGTGAGTACATTTTTGCAATTTTCAAGTTATGTTTATGTTTTGTACATTTGGATATTGTGCTTTGCTTGTCTGATTTCATGCATTTTGCTTACAAACATTTTGTTTTCTATTCATTTCAGTGAGGGATTTTTCTGCTATTTTGTGTGTACTTTATTATTGCTCAGTTAATTTAGTTTGATTTTCTGCATTGTTTATCATGCCTTCATCCGTTAATCGTTTCACTAAATTACGCCTGAAACGGCAAAAATTCCTGAATCATCTTGACTTTTTACTTAAATGTAAATGTAAAAAATTGATCCCCAATTTTATTCAAATCAAATCTAATCAAAAACCTTCGAGTCGCGTTTCAAGAATTCTGTTAAATTGCAAACTTGCCTTACTTCGGTCCGTGATAAGGGATACACGTCAACAATTGTCCAAAATTGAACATGAACTCTATAAGCTTCATCTGGAACTCGCTAAAACATATCCAAAATTCACTGCCCTTGAACAAAAGTCTTGGTCTAGAACGGAGAATGCAGTTAACCGTCATAAAAACACCCTTGCAGTTAAATTCGAAAAACTTCTTTTACAGTCTTCCAGTTCAAGTAGTTCAAAAAAATCTTCCCATTGTAAACATCAAGCCAATAGTTAATATTTCTAATGTTAGTCTTTCAGAAGAACAAGAGAGAATTCTAAAATATAATTTTAACTTCTCACAAACCTGTAAACCCTCGATTCCAAAGATTTTGGCTCCTATCGAAAAAAGCTTTCAAGTTCAGTAAAGTTTCAGATTCACAGAAAGAAATGATTAGGCATCTTATCGCTCATAATGTGAAATTCAATAATAAACCTTTGAAACCAAATAAAACCTAATCTAAAGAGAGAAAGAGCTACAATGCGCGAGATTCATTCATTCTAACCCGGATATTGTCATTTCAAAGGCCGACAAAGGTGGCCAGATAGTCGTCATGGATAAGAACACTTACATCGATGGTGTCACTAAACTCTTAAACGAAGGACCATATAATCCGATCCCTAAAGATCCTTCACCTTCGGACTTATCCAAAATAAAAACTGCGATCAAATCTTCGCAAATCATTTCAAGCAACTTAAAACATTCGCTTATCCCATCTGTTGCGAATTGTGCCAGATTATATGCTCTTCCCAAAATTCATAAAAGTGGTATTCCTTTCCGCCCTATTGTATCAAATTTAGGTACTGCCTCGTATCCATTAGCTAAATATTTAGTTTCTAGATTTTCCACTCTATTAGACAATAACATTTACACCATAAAAAATTCAATAGAGTTTGTAAAAAAGGTTAAAAACATTTCTCCTCGTAATTTACTCATGGTTTCTTTTGATGTAAAATCATTATTCACCATGTCCCAATGTCCCAGTGGAGGGTGCATTAAGATGTCTAGAAACCAGACTTCGCGAATTTCATTTCTCTTGCATCGAAATTGATGAGCTAATTTCTCTCACTCAACTCTGTTTGAAACAAACACATTTTGTTTTCCAAAATAAATATTACAAGCAAACTGAGGGATTAGCCATGGGAAGCCCCCTCAGTCCCATCCTGGCTGATATCTACATGCATTATTATGAATCAAAATTGTTTGAAACTTTAAACTTCCCGGCATGGTTCCGCTACGTAGACGATACTTTTACCCTGTTTGAAGGTAATAAAGATGATTTAAATAGAGTTCTTTCAACAATGAATTCTATTGATCCTGCTATTCAGTTCACTTTTGAACTTGAGACTTGCAATTCTCTTCCGTTTCTCGACATTCTGGTCACACGTAACACATCCAACTTCAGTACTACAGTTTACCGTAAACCTTCATCGGTTTGCCTTCCACCACACTTTAAATCATGTCATCCGACTAAACAAAAGTTAGCTTCATTTTATTCCTATGTTTTCCGTGCTCTTCAAGTTTGCTCCTCCAAACTAGCCCTTGATGAAGAACTAAATTATTTAAAAGCAATAGCTATTGACAGGGGCTTTTCACCCAACATTATTAATCAAGCAGTTTAAAAATTCTCATCTCAACACACTAAAAGCACACACTCTTATTTTAGGAGATTAGATTATAAAAATTCTGTTGTCATTCCCTTCTTTCCATCAATTAGCTATAAAGTTGCACATATTTTGCAGAAATTTAACTTTCGGGTTGTTTACTCTCCCATCAATAAAATTCCAACTTCTATACTCAAGGACCCCATTCCGGATATGAAATCCTGGGGTATTTATAGGATTCCTTGCCAGTGCGGTTTAATTTACATTGGCCAAACTAAGAGAGCCTTAAAATTTCGCGTGAAAGAACATGAGGCATATGTTAGAAAAAAAAAAAGGAAACACAGAAGTCTTCTGTTGCTCAACATTGTTGGTCCGAAAATCACACTTTCAATTTTTCTGCTGCCAAAATTATTCAAAAAACATCTTCCATTGGAGAACTGGATTTTCTAGAGGCATTTCACATTCATAAAAATCTTTCTGTTCTAGTTAACGATCCTAATTCCAATCCAAATTTGCCTTCGGCTTTTAGAGAAATTATGTTTTAGTTCTGGTTTCGCCAACAGATGGCGCCACTTGCTTATTCTTGTCCAGGCTTTCTTATCTTATCTAAACATTATTTCCTATCTTGTTCATTTGCGGTTTTGCAGCTGAAGATGATGGTTCGGTAAAACCATCGAAACTAGTCCTGTGAAAATTTTGTAAATTAACGCTGATTTTTGTTGTTTGACTTCTGAATTAGTAATGCTTAATTTGCTGTTTTACCGAACATGTAAACAAATTTCTAGAATTAAACAGTGCTCAATAACTTCAATTTTATGCTAAGTTAAACTCAATAACTCACTCCGTATTAAAGTCTAATACAGAGTGAGACTATTAGCGAATAAATACTTACCAATCAGGAAAACAAACTGCAAATTTTCCCAAACTGACTTCCAAGTAGTTTCTGAAAGGGTTTGAAGTTTGTTTCCATTAAGTATGATTTCTTTTAAGGAAGGCATGTCGACGAAAATGTCAGGCGGTAACTGTTCGATCAAATTCATGCTAAAAATAACCAAAAAAAAAAAAAAAAAAATTATAATGATTTCTTATTTAATTTATAATCTTTACGGGATAGACACTATCTGTAAGCTTATGCTCATATTGTGCTTATTTTGACTATCTCTTTATTTGCTCTTCGAACATTTTAGCATTTTTTTAGGAACGTAGTTAAAATAAAGGCTCTAGTGTAAAATTGGGTGCCCTTTCGATTAGCGACGACTTTTGGCAATGAAACCTCCTTTCTGGTTACCATGATAGTTTTAACTTTGTTTTAGCTTCCTGATTTTTTTAAATGAAAATATATTGATATGTACATGGACAAAGTTAAGGCAGTGCGCGATGCCTAGTTTGTGCAATTCTCTGGTGTTTTTTAAGTGAAAATAGATCAATATGCACATGGACACAGAGATTGTGAAATTTTTTGACTTCTTATTTTGGTTTTGTGTAGCGACCATCTTCAAATTGTGCCTTCCTGGCGCCGATCTTGGCGTCCAAAAAGAATAGCCAAAAAAACAAGGGTCAGCCAATTGTAAACTTTAACCAAGATAAATGTTGCCTTGATATTGGTACTAATAAGATGTATCAAGCTCTAATTTAAACTTTATATTTAAACTGCATAATACATGTAACGTAACTGTACAACTAGCTTCCTACTATTTAATTACATGCATTATGAAGTTTAAATATGTAATTAATTAGCACTTAGGCATTATTATCAACTTCAGCAATCGTAAATATTCCATAACTCATTTCACATTGGCAGAATACTCGCTCATCACGCAGGAGAAAAGAAAACAATATTTAGAAAACACATGATGCACTTGTAGATTTCATAGAAATAAGAAAAGTAATAATAAAATAATAATATATGATAAAAAAATAAATAAAAAATCTATCACACAACTCGGAAAAGAAATCATTTCTTCTATTAAGTGTTGGTACAAAGTACATAACTTTACAATGTTCGGTTTCCAATGTAAATCATGTGATCTTTATAGAGATGAAACAACTCTAGAGAACTCTTATTTAAAATATCGGTAATTTAAATACGAAAAATTCTCAGAAAGCTTAAAAATTACATAACGAATTAGCAATAAATTTCATTCAAAATATATCCGATTGTAAAACGAAAAGAGCTATAATAATTAGTTCTCTCTTTAAGCGAAAGTGAATCTAACAGTTCATAAAAGAACATTTTATTAATCGTCATTTCAAACCATTTTAATTCAAAATAATCTAATCCGAATTTTGAAAATCTTGGTCCTATGCACGTTGACGTATATTTGAAAAAAAATCTACATCAAATATCATAACTCTTAGTCTTTTAGAATGAGCTCTATCCAATGCATACAAGCACATATCCAAACTCATTATTTTAAGATTATAAGTTACGTTAGAAATAATTGCTTCTTGATGGTATTCAATGTTAACTCAATAAAAAGTTAAAAAAGACTTTTCGGATATTTTAGATTATTACTTATTCTTTATCATGAACTAAAAGTTTCATTCCTGCCACTTACATTGCCAAACGATTGATGAATTTAAATTTTCAATTTTGGAATAATCGAAAATGGCTGTCTTTCCTTTCACAATTTGATTTCAATGAATCTGTTTTCTTGTGTCACGCGTCGGAGTTTCAGAGACATTTTATTATGCAAAAAATCAATAAGCAATATTTTAAAGTCTTGAATAATTAATTTTTTTTTCTTTTTACCTTAGATCAATCTTTGTAAGATGCATAGCTGGATGTGGGAACATTGACCTTTGAACAGTTCCGATTTGGTTGCTAGCTAAGGATATTGCTTTCAAATGTGAAAGCCTTGAAAATGCGTGATTTTCAATTTCTTTAATATTATTTTCATCTAAGGTAAGAAATTGAATATTAGGTACATTTTCACTCACCAATGTATCTCTGACCTTTATTAAGTGAAATGATCGGATATTTAAATTTTCAAGCTTGGTAAGGCGCGCCAAAGCAAAACCATTGTTGCTTGTGATCGTAGAATTCTTCAGAGACAAGGTGTGCAGAGTGTTTTCCAAACCTGTAAAAGCCGGTTGTAAGAATTTCAACTTGGAATTTCGAATATTCAGTTCTTTGATATGCATGCCATAGAACACCTCATTCGGCAATATATCAGGGATGTATAAGCCATGGAGAAGAACTCTACTGATACGGTAGTTCCGTATTATTCTGAAGGCTTTCACGAGATGAGAACTGGAATTAAAGTTGGCGCATATGGCGTGGAGACCATATGCTGATCGTTTACAGGTGCAAGGTGCCACATCTTCTAGATCTGGACACGCTTTAGGTTCGCAAGAAGCTAAGGCGAGGAACAGCGCAAAAAAATAAGTCACTTGCATTGACGGCATTTTTCTCAAACACTGCACGCTTAAAATCGCGCCTTCACTGTGAGAATTAATGTTGGAAAACTAGCCGGCTGGCACTTATTCATCGCTTTATCTAAGCATCGGGGAAGTACATTTGTGATAAAGTAAGAAATACCAAGGCTTTCTTTATTATACAATTTTTTATCATAAGTAATTAGCTTAAAATGATCGATAAGCTACGTCAGTATTTCTTGGGAAAAGAGAAAGCTGTTTGAAATGCTATTTTTTAAAATGTACTTCGAAGTATTTCTAGCAGTAGTTATCATTAAAGGAGTTAAATTCATTTACATCATGCTCTCATCCCTTGAAAAGTGTGATATGGGAGTAGATCATATGTTTAGAAGTGAGAAGAATTCGTCTGTAAATATACTAGATCTTTACTGAGAAGCAAGTGATACTAACTTCTGAACAATCGCTGCATTAAAGCAACCATCTATATATTCAAGGAATTCAAAACAGGATAAAACGCATTTTACATTTTACGAGAATGGTAGTATACGAATAAGTAAAAGATTTGGTGAAAATCATGTTTAAAATAACAAAAACAGGTCGTAACTTACAAACCAAAACAATATCAGTTACTAGTTTATAGTAAAAGTTTTGGGTAACGCCCTGTGTGTATAGGCCTGTATACATTTTATTACTTAAAGTTTATCAACTAGTCCCAGTGAATTTACAAAAGAATGATTAACAACGAACGTAACAACACTTTTTCTTTTAAATCTAGATTTCTAACGAAAAGGAGATTAAATGATTTTTTTTAAACTTGAAGAGAAGATACCTGTTGTTACAGATTCAAAGAATGAAAAATGGAAAGCAGTAAGCATTTGATTCAAATGGTAGACAGTAATACCAATTTTTTTAAATAAAGAGTTGCTATCAACGAAAGTCCATTTGATTTATTAACTCAGAGATGAAATCAAAAATTTCTGCATTAGTAAGAGAAACTTAGCCTCAGCCAGAGAAACTTAGTTTTTAGTCTTTGAATAAAAGGAAATTCCGTGACCTTTTTTTAATTAGTAGAAAATTAACTTCTTTAAAAGAAAAGACAGTATGGTATATTTTTATAAAGAATCAACAGACACAATTTCTGAAAAGAAGTCACCGCATGACACAAAACGAAAGACTGTAATGGGCAAAGAAGTTTTGTTGTTCTTTCGTGTAACTTAATTATTGGCAAGATTTTGATTGAAAAAAATGTTTGTTTTATTAATTATCGATTTAATTGCTAATTTTAGCAACATGTGAATTAGTTCCTATTTCGTAAAGTAAAATCTTTTCCTAAAGGACACAACTGTAAGAGCATTTCGAATTGTAATGAACACGTAACAAATAAATGAAGCAGCATTTCAAATGTATAGTATACAAATATTTATAAATTATATTAATACTCTAGGTAGTATACATTGTTAAAAATACTTTGCTGCCCATCTGTGTATGTCTAATTAAAAATGGGTTTCAGAAATAAGAAATCAGGAAAAAATAAAGAAACTTTATTTTTAAAAAAATGTGTACAGAATTACAATTTATAAACTACTTTACTAATCTCTGTACAAAAATACCAAAGCAATACTCAAAATATTCCACTCAATATTATCTATTTACATATTACAATATGAAAAAAATCAATCAATATTATCTATTTACATGTTACAATATAAAAAAAATTCAATCAATATTATCTATTTACACATTACAAATTCTAAACGTATAACATTTTGATATGAAGCGTGTTTAATAAATATGATGGCTAAAATATTATATCACGTGCAAAATACAACGATTTGAAATGAAATGGAATTAATAGAGAAATTACCACGCACAACATTATAAATAATACTTCGAAGAAAAAAATCAACAAAGATTTACTCTCGTTTCGATCTAAAAATAGGTAATTAGATGATAGTAATGCTACATGATATTACTATCCCGTCCATAATATACCTCCCAAATTCGTTTGCCAGCTACGTCTTTAGGAGCAACGCAGCGACCTTTCAAGTTATCGATTCGACGAAATTTCTTCAGCCATTCCATCTTCCAATCACACATCAATTTGTTACCTGCAATTAAAAAGAGATGCGTTTTCGTCTTGTACACAAACATATATATAAGCAAGAGATAAGAAATTTCATATTTAGATTATTAATTATTTAAGTCACTCAATGTGCGGTGAAATTACTTAAATAAAAGACAGATGATAAATAAATGAGGAAGGGTAGTTAACTAGCTAACTAGAAGAACACAACTCAAATCTAACCCCCCCCCAAAAGCAATAAAATAAAAATATAATACAAAAAATAATTAAAAATTCTTTGGTCTTTTATGCAAGTTAATTAACTATGCTTTCTGCTTTAATTATTATCTCTTGATTATGTATATATAAAAGTATATAATCGAAAACGATAATATTTATTAAATCAAAGCTTATGTTAAATGATCTTGAATGATAACTCTGTTTAGCTCCAAATACAATATTTAGAAAAGGTGCTACAAGTGAATTCTTGAAAAAATAATTGCAAGTTTCTCCAAATATGAAATAAAAGTCCTGGATATAAAAGTAAATATCCGATGGAATATAAGTAATATTATTATTTAAAAATTAACATTTAAAAATTAACTCTTTCTGTTTATAATCCGTGACTACATAATTCTTTTTTACGAATGCAATTCTCTTTTACGAAAAATCAAAATTAGAAACTTGGTTATGTTAATGAAAGAAATCCGACGCAGATTTTCGATTTTCTGAAGGCAGATGAACGTTTGTAACAGCTATCAATTACAGTTAAATGCGATTTTAATTTCAAAACAACACTGATTTAAAACAATATAAGGAACATTTGATGCGAGAGAAATTAACTGAATTAACCATTGCCATAAAATTAATGGCAGTTAAAGTACTGCTAAACAACAAAAAGTTGCATTAACTTTAAATAAGTTATTTTCTTCCTTCTTCCGGCATGCCTTCATGGTGTAATATTAGCACACTCAATGCGTATTCGAGAGGTCCGGCGAGAGCATTGCTCATGTATCACGTCTCCTGCGTCAAATAAAAAAAATCTGATGTGTACACCACATGACTTCCTTGTACGGAATATTAAATTATACGCATTTTTTCTTGCATTTCATTTAAACTTATTGGATTGAATTAAATCTACTTCGCCGACAGCGCATAAACCACAATAGAATAAATGCATTCTTTAAAATTCACTCTAGTATTTGTTTACCATAGAGACACTCCGGCGCTAGATTCACTTAACAGTATTAATAATTATATAACAGTTAACTTATATAATAATTATATAACGGAAACTAAGTTAACTGTTATATAATCCAATAATTATATAAGAGTTAACTTATATATTTCGTTCATATTATAACTCATAATGCACAAAATTTATATCATTTAAAGAATAGAATTACTAATCGTTGCCACATGTTCTATTCAAATACTATAATAAAGCTAAAATGATGTATAAAAGAAATTAAGCAAACAAAACAAAAAAGAAACAATTTTTCACAGACGATTGAGTATTTCTCATTTAAATAATTCAGTTCTCACTTCGCGAGAAGGCAAAAATACATAAAAACTCAAAATATCTATATTAAAAATTACGAAGTAACTCTCAAACACTTATTTCCTCGAAAAAATTCCAGAAAGAATTAAGCATGATTTAATTGGCAATAATAAATGATTGCGTTATCTTTGTTGTTGCGAAGCTAAGTTTCTCTAGATTGGCAACAAATCCTCTAGTCTCCTGTTTCAAATGTAAACATCAATGGCCGCCATAAAAAAAAAGGCTTAGCGGCACTTAGACAACTTTAAAATTGTTGATAATTCTAAAAATATTGCACACAGATTTACTAAAGGCATAAAATCTTAACCGGAAGATAAAAACAACATAATACAATCATTTTTAAAGCAAAAAATGTACAATTTACAAACATATAAGGGTAAAGAAACTGAGATCACCGAGCCGGGTAACAGAGTGGATATATATATAAATATATTTATATACGTTTGGTGAGGCCGATTGCAACTAAAATACGAAGTGCACATCTACATGTTATAGCAGTCCTATATACAAAATTTCAACGTTCTGAGGCTACTCGTTTTTGAGTTATGCGAGATACGTACGTACGCACGTACGTAGATACGTTCATACAGACGCCACGAAAATTTCTCTTCAGAATTAATTTTAAAGCAGTTTTATAATTTTTTTGAAGGAAAAGAGTATTTTATTCTGTCCTTACGTACAGATATCACGCAAAAAACATCATTAAATTGCATTCGATAGCGGTCAAAATGGATATTTTCGTTGTCGCGATTACAATACTTCCTTTTTACTTCGTACAGGGAAGTAAAAAGGCAATGTCTTTACAGCGGCGCCCGAACTAAAAAAAAAAGGTGTTGGACGATTGTAAAGATCGTGACTTGTAAAGATCATGACTTGTAAAGATCATGACTTGTAAAGATCGTGACTTAAAGAGAACGTGAAATATAAATAATAGGACAAGAAATCACAATCCCCTCACCTACTTGACCCAAAGCGCCCCTCACGGTGCTAAACTGTCTCGTTGGGCCTTAGCGTTACAACGGTATAATATGACTGTGACATACCGCAAAGGAAGTTCACATGGGAATGCTGATGCTTTGTCAAGGTTAGCTGTTAACTCTTTCTCAATGAACTCTGAGCAGCATTGTCTCTACGGTGACGAATGTGCTTTCTTGTGGGGGGTTTGTAAAGATCGTGACTTGTAAAGATCATGACTCGTAAAGATCGTGATTTGTAAAGATCATGACTTGTAAAGATCGTAACTTGTAAAGATCGTAACTTGTAAAGATCATGACCTGTAAAGATCGTGTAAAGAGAACGGGAAATATAAATAATAGGACAAGAACTTGAATTTTACGGTGTGGCAACAAAGAAAGAGATTCGGAAGATTTTTATATATTTTGTTTAGAGAGAGTTAAGATTTTAATATAATAACAGTCGTAAGAGTTTTAACTGTAGTAGTTAAGAGTTTAAAATTTTGATAGTTAAGAGCTGCAGCATTTATTTTTTTTTTTGGTTCTGTTTTAAAATTCAAATAAAAGTACTTTGTTCATACTGAAAATTTAGCTTTGTTCTTCCTACAAGGTTCAATATCCATTATATTGAAATAAGGAAAGGATTTTTACTACGATCCACCACCAGGATGTGGAGATAAGATCCTCTCATCCCCAGTCTCCTTTTAAGAGGATAAGTATATAACGCATTTTATCCCTCCTTCCAGCACCCCTTCGTGGTGTAACGGTAGCACAAACGGCTCGTATTCGAGAGGTCCGGGTTCGAGTCCCGACGAAAGTATTGCAAGATAATTACTATAATAATACTTTCAAAATTAAATGAAAATTAGTTGAGAAATAAAAAGCAAAATAGTAACCGCGCATTCCGCATTCATGTTTAAAATTTTCTCATGAGTTAAAAAAGGAATATCTGCAAGTAACATTGCAATTAAGAGATTAAGTTCATCAAGTAAGTGTTTCTGTAGAGATACGAAAAGATACCGCCCTTTAGGACCGACGAATACGTGGTTTCTATAATATACTTAAGGACATCATATACTCCTAAAAGATATCCTCCACGAAGGCATCCCTCCTCTTAGGCAGATAGCCCTCGAGGCTTTCCCATAATCACACTCCAAAATCAATCTCAAAACCTAAAAGATATCAATTGTCGATCATATATTTTGAAACTGTAAATCTATTTAAGTAAACTTAATCATGAAAAATATTATTCGCTTTTTTGTTTTACTATTTCTGTAAAATCAAGTGATAAAAAATACATAAATGTATCAAGAATTTTAATTTCATATATACGAGTAAGATAAAAGGTCTAAAAGGTACAATTATTTGCGAATCGTTTTTGCAGTTACCTGTCACAATAACAGCAAAGAGATGTTTCCATACTGGTCCCCATGTAACTTCTAGTAGTGTTTTAAAATTGTTTTCAGCCAGGAATACATTTTGCAAGGAAGGCATTAAAGCGAAGAAGTTAGTTGGCAATTTATCGAGCTGGTTGTTACTAAAATAACAAATTGAAGTTTTATAATTTATAATCATATTCATTTTAAACTGTAATATTACACAATATATTAGAAGAAAAAAAAACAAATTCAACTTTTATAATTCATATTTGTATTAATTTTAAACTGAAATGTTACACAATATAGTGTAAAAAGAGAAGCTATAACTTTATTTCTTCAAATACTTATTTAATATGTGCGCTTCCAATTAGAAATTTTCTCAAAATAAGGTATGAAATTTTACAGTAACACTTTCAATACTGTGCATTGCACGCTTCTGTAAGTATTATACCTGATGAATCATACTGTTCCCATTTAGCAAATATTTTAGTTAATAAAACATTCATGATGAATTAAAAAAAACAAGTTAAATTAAACTGTTTCTTACATGTATATGCAAAAGCTGCATAGATATGATAGAACCACATACACATTTTGAAACGAACGCCCCTTTTTTTTCTCCATTAGCACTGTTTATGACTTAAACGTTTGATGAGCAGTTTTACTTCATTTTTTAGAAACAAATTAACAATTAAATTTTGATCAATAATGGACCTTGAAAACCTATTTAGATCAGTAATACATTTTCGATTACCGTCTTGAAATTTACGAAAAATTATAAAATATGTGGAAAGTTTGGTATTTAAAATACTAAACATCATAATTAGCTTAAATACTTTAATTCACACAGACCGTGCAAAACTCAGAAGTACATTTGCAGAACATGGGGTGTTAAAATTGATTTAAAAAATTCTGTAGAAATTTGTAATTTAGAAAAAATAAATAGAATCAATGTTTAACAGGACGAAGTTTGTGACAATATTTATCAAGTAGTTTCTATCAAATATGTCTGTAGACTTATGCTTTATTATTTTTATAGCCTGAAACTTCTAATCAAGTATTTCAGAGTAATTCCGAAGAATAAAGTTTATACAAAACTGATGAGTACTAAATATTGATTTAAATTCTGTAATAAAAGTGACTAATTTAGATGTAATTTTGTTGCACAACTATTTGAATTTACTCCTATACGACTAACTTCCTTTTCATATCGCTCTACAGACATAACATATTTTTTAGTTCAAATGGTACACTATTAAATGTTTAATGAGGTTTCTTGACACTGGACAAAAAGCACTTTCTGCGAAGTAACACATTACTTTATTAGTATTAATGATATATTAGTCTTACAAAATAGCTACAAAGCTAGTATAAATTAATGAAATAAGTTTCGCATGAGTACAGTCTTAACGTTTCGAAAAAGAGGGCTCATGGTACATAAGTTAATTAGTACTCAAATTGTATAAATTAATGTAAAATTCATTAATGATATAGCATGCTGTTTACTGCATTTGGGATCGTATCCTAGATATGATCCTCGAAGTGTAAACCACCAAAAGAACTTGATCAATCCTGCATATGGTACTGATTTTGAAGCTACAGATTCTACACAATATACGAAGTACATCGGGGCAAAAGCTTTCATGTTATCTCGTATAAGCATGATGGAGATCCATCCATTAATAAAAATGAAGACTATTTTTTGTCATTCTTGCTTTTGTTTTGTAAACCTGAAGGCAATTAACATTAAACTGAATTTAAAATTGAATAGCTTATTAAATTAAGGAGAGGAATCATTTTCATTAATATATTCTAAATTATTTGTATTTATTTTCATACTTAAAATTAGCGTTTTATTGGGGCCATTTGAGAAATAAATAGCTAACTAAAAGCAAAAGATCGCATATTATATCAATATCTAAAGTTCTACATTTAATTTAATATATTTTTATCCACATGATAAATAAACATAAATATATTTCAATTATGTCTTGATTATAGATTCTGTTCCTGCACTGCATAGATCACTACTATAAATTATAATTCTAAATTCACACTTCTGTGATTTACGTTATCAAATATTTTCTAACAAAAAATTTAGAATTTTCATGAAAAATAATATATTTTTCTTTTTTAGCATCTACATTTCATAAAGAACTATTAATTTCAAAATTGCATTTTAAAAACATGTAATTTAATATATTAAAAATGTGTATATACTACTACTAATAATAATATAACAATAATAGTAATAATAAAATAATAATGATAGTAATGATAAAAGTCTTAAGTAAGTAAGTAAATAAATAAATAATACTATATAAAGATTCTAAATAATTTCCAATTACACTCTGTCAGATGAAAAAAACTGGTTGCAATATCAACAAATTAATCCAAAAATTTAAACCTAATACATATTCAAAGTACAGCTGTTTTAAATAATCGATAAAAAATATTTTACGTTAGATCAATGGTCTTCAGATGTTGAACTGGGTACGAAAATATTGATCTGCTAAGACTCTTGATTTTATTGTTAGCCATAGATATACTCTTCAATTGTGACAGTTCAGAAAATGCAGCTATTTCGACTTCAGTTATATCATTGTCGTCTAAGACGAGTATACGAACATTATTTACTTTTCCGTTCAACCATGTGTTTTGGATCTTCGGCAGGTGATCGAACTTCATTCTAAACTCTTCAAGTTTGCTAAGGCGTGCCAAAGTGAAGTCATCTTTGCTTTTGATCACAGAATGTTGTCCAACGAACAGGGAGTGCAAAGTATCATCCAAACCTGTAAACGCTTCTTGTGAGAACTTTAATGTGGAATTTTCAACTGTTAATCCGTTGATATAAGTGTTATGAAACAAATCATTCGGCAATTCGTCAGTGATGTTTAAACCATGGAAAAGAACTCTGGTCACATAGTATTCGCGCATGATTTTAGAAGCTCTTACGAGACTGGAACTGGAATTGAAATTGGCACATACGACATGAAGACCGTATGCCACTCGCCTGCAATAGCAAGGTTCTAAATATTTCTCAGGAGGACAAACCATAATGACGGAGGAAGCAAAACCAATGAATAACGTAGAAAGGGAAAATACTGTAATTAACGACATCACCCTTGAAAGTACTTTGAACAGTTCCGAAAGTAACTTTACTTCTGTAACCTGAGTGAGGGTAGCATTTATGCTAGCTAGCATGTACTTTTTATCTGTGCCTTGCACACAAGGTTTATCTGATGATGTCAAAATTTCTGTATTCTGTTTTTATTATAATGCAATTTATCGCGTGTAACAATTTTGAGGTAGTTGATAAGCTAAATGTGCCTTGAGAAAGGAGAAAGCTGTTTGAAATGAATTTGCTGAGCTTCATTTTAAAATATTTAGAAAAAGGATTGCCGCTGTAGGAGCAGAAATCTGTTCATATCACTTGTTCAATGGAATATGAATGCAAGTTATAATAATAATGCGATTCCCAATAATAGTGCAATTTCAATAAATCAAATAAGTACTTCGTGGTGTAGTGGTCTGTACGCCCGACGCGTATTCGAGAGGTCCGAGGTTCGAGTCCTGGCGGGGGCACTGCTCATTTTTCACATCTCCTGCTTCCAAAAAAATCCTAATGTTTCTACACATTTTTTAATTTAATAAAATTTTCTGAAGTTTTAGATGAATAGTAATACAGTAAATTACTAGAAAGTGCATAATAACGTTAATATAATATCCTGTGAAAAATAAGACTTTTGCATGCAAGTACAAAATGCTGATTTTTAGGAAACCCTTTTTAAATTCTTCACCGACGCTTAGACAATATATATCTAATAATAATAAAAAATTTGTGGTTTTGTTTATTACAAAATTGTTCTAATCATTATAGAATTATGCTAGTCATTATAGAATACTTTGTTAGCGTTTTGTTCTTGTTAGTCCAAAGAGCGTTAGCCCAGAAGGGCTATTAATTTCGTTTTGGCATTTTGCATTGATTCACTGTAAACGGTTATTAATTTTTTAAATTATTGCCACCAAATATTAAAATCTTGTATTATATTATATTTAAAGAAATTAAATAATGAAGAATCTGCATAAATGTACGTATGTTCCTCGCATTATGATAAAACAACGGTAAATAGAGCCATGAAATTTTGAATTACGTACGTATCCATCGGAATATGGGCATCTGGAAGCCTAAATTTGGAATTTGTTTCATTACCTTTTTCATATTTTGTAAAGCATTTATGAGTTTTTGATTAAGAAACTCAACGATTTCAAAGCGAGCAATGGCAACACTGTACGAAAAGAAAACATTTTTGACTCCAGCGCGCGAGACTATGAATCGGAAATTCTAAAGATATTTTCTTTTAAATATTTTGTGATATTGCTATTGAATTGAATTGAATTTTATGGTTTAAGTGCGAAGAACATGAAATTTATTAAATAAAGGAGTAGATAATTGAAAGCAGAACAGATAATTAAAACATTTGTGAATTGCGTCTTGAGGTAATATAAAGCAGGCTGTATTAAACTGACGAGCCAAAACATTATGATCATACCCACATTTTTTAAAATGAACTTGTCTGGATGACGGGAAGGGCATGCGATTAAGTGGGAATGGTATTTAGATTATATTTTTTACATATAGATTATATTTTTCTTGCTAGTTAGGAAAAGATTAACAGTTTGGGTAATCAGATTACATCTGCTAAGATTATATACATCGTAAAAAAGCACCAACCTTGCGTGAAATTGCTAAAACTCGTATAAATTAATGGCATTTAATTTAAGAAAGTGGCTCTAATGGCTAAAACTGTATTTCAGTCATTCCTGTAATTCAAATATTAGAATTCCAAAAGTTAGATATTTAAAAAGAAACTGGAAAAAGAAACAAATTCCACCCTGATATACTGTCATGAATAATTCCTTATTTTATAAGCCTGAAACATACCAGTATCTTTTCATTGCTGTTTCGCTCCCAAATAGCTTTTGATTGACTTTTCGCGAATAGAAAGAAAAATATTTTTGCTCTCTGGAAGCTCCAGTTTCTCCACCGCAGACTACCGAAGATATTTACTGTATCTTCTACAAAATATGAGCTTCCTTTTACGATGTCAAAAATACCTTATTTTAATAAGACAAAACTCAAAATTTTCCAGAAAGATCATTGATTTTCTTTGTTTCTTCCGCTCCCTTCACTTTGATGCCTTCATAAATTTTTCCCCCTTTTTTTGCGGGAAAATCAGATACTTTTCCTTGCATCGCTGTTGATGGCAAAAGATTCACAATAAATATTTACTCCCAGATTTCAAGACATAATGAATTCAGTTTTCATCCGGCTGAAACCACAAACTGCCAGAACTGCTTAGGAACAGAAATGAGTTTGAACAGAAAAGTAGTTCGTTATTACCGATGATTTGTTACAGGATACTTAGACCTTTTTTGTTCTATTTTTGTTTCTGAGTAATTTAAAAATTCAATAAAAAGAAATATGTCAAATTTGGGATATATAAATCATTATTAATTTTATATGATTTATAATAAAATAAGAAAACATGAAATGGGTTTCTTTTGCCTTCAAACGCAACTAAGATTTCTATTATTAATAATTTAAATTTAGTTATTTAAATACAAAGTTAATAATTTGGAAAATTCCACCAGATTGATAATTTATATCAAATCATAATATTTAGATCCAGTTTCGAAAATATATACATGTATGCGTGTATGATAAAATTATCTATGCATGTATAATTATCGTTTACGATGTATCTCTCTATACTATCTATTTATAGTTTATCATCATTGTATTATAAAATATATTACTTGATTCCAATTTAAATATCATATCAGACTTGGTCATATTTCTCCAAAAATTCTAAGCTGTTATCAGAATTTAGCTGGCGATAGCTTGGAGTTTAAATTAAGATGCAAGTTGAAGCCTCTAGCAAGTCATTCACGATTAACTTCAGCATTTTGGTTTGTAGATCTTTAAGTGCCTTCTGGTATTTCAGGATATGAAAGGCTTGACAAACACTGCATGCATAAGTTTAATTATTTGTAGGTATGAGATTCTTCCAGCTTCTACATGAAAAGCTGAGTTGAAGTTTATTACTTGAATATATATTAATAAGCTCTTTATTTCTTTCCCAAGGGTAAAGTGAGATCTTTTGCGCAGCCAATATGATTTGTTGAGTTTAAATGATCATGGCAAAGCACTCGAGGACTATCTGCCTAAGAACAGGGATGCCTTCGAGGGGAACGTTGAAAGGGAAACTGGCTCGTGTACACGGTACACATTGAGAAATTCACGACAAGTGCGATGCAAGCAGCCCGCTCACAGAGATAGTGTTCAGCGACTTTACCGCTTGGTCGCTGTTAAGCACTTAGGCAGTACTGTTTTTAAAAGTAAAACTTTTTGTTCAGCAAAATATCAAAAATTTTGCCTGTGTTATTACGGACTGTTCCTATTAGTGATATTACTACTTACAGGGTGATCAGCAAATAAGCCCTGATTTCAAAATTAAATATCTCTACAACAAAGATCGATAGAATTATGCGGTAAACTGTACGTTTATTAGCAAAACTGTAAAAATGGTGTACAAAAGTTTAAAAAATGTAGTTATGAAAATCTTTAACAGATGGCGCTCTAATTGCAATGACTCTCAATAGCCTTTAAAATGTGCTTCGAAGTCGAAAGCGATCAGTACAACTGTTGGCTAGTGAAAAGAGACTAGCATAAAAAGTGAAACAATGTATTCCATTGAGCAACGTGTATTTTGGTTCTGAAATTTCCCCGATTACAACATAGGCCTACGGCAACACGTCACAGTTTTCAAAACCGATTCAATGTTCCACTTGGACCTAATGTGAAAACCTATTCGCAATGTTCTTCGCGAAATTCGAATGGACTGGCAGCATGGCTGATGATCGAAAAGGAAATGTTGGGTCTAAGCAAACTATAGTCACTCCTGAAAATACAGCCAAAGTTTCTGGATTTGTTCAGCAAAATCCTAGGAAAAGCATCCGACGGATTGCATCAGAGACAGGTTTGAAGTACACGGGCACACAAAAAATATTTTAAAATAGCATACGGCTGTTTCCATACAAAATCCAAAGTCATCAGGGCTGACCCATGAAAGACCCATGAAAGCTGTGGAACAAAGGGTTGACTTTGTGAATCAGATTCTAACAATGATCGACAACGACAGATTTGATGTGAGCTGCATCTGGTTCACAGAGGAGGGACATTTTCATTTGAATGGAATCGTTAATAAACAAAACTTGAGATTTGGGGGTACCGAAAATCCTCATTTGTGTGAAGAAAAAGCACTGCATTCGCCTAAAGTTATGGCATGGGCTGCGGTATGCGCCAGAGGCATTATCGGACCCTTTTTCGTACGAGAAACGATAACTACTGAACGTTACGTTACAATTTTGGAACAATTTGTCAGCACTCAACTAGCGTTGGAGGATCGACCAGGTATCGACTGGTTTCTGCAAGATGGGGCTCGACCACATAGAACAATTAAAGTTTTTCACTTTCTTCAAGAATACTTTGGGAATAGAGTAATTGCGTTAAAATATCCTCAATTTACTGACACAGGAATAGCTTGGCCTCCATATTCTCCCGATCTGAGTCCTTGTGACTTCTTTCTGTGGGGCACATTGAAAGACGCTGTCTATGGAAACAATCCTGCTACTCTAAATGAGCTTGAATCGTTGATTGGTGTTGCAAGTGATTCCATTTCCGTCGAGACATTGCAAGATGTGATGTCAAATTTCATTGTTCGTTTACGCCACCTCATTGTTTCGAACGGTGAACATTTTGAAAAAATTGTATTTGATTGCAAAGGCTGCTTCACTTTATTTTTTTAATTAATTTTTTGACTCCTTTCAGAGAAAGAATTTTCATGCAGAGCGCCATCTATTAACGATTTTTGTAACTAAATTTTCTAAACTTTGTACACCATTTTTATAGTTTTGTTAAAATGTACTGTTTATCACATAATTCTACCGATTTTTGTTGTAGAGATATTTAATTTTGAAATCAGGGCTTATTCGCTGATCACTCTGTACATTCGTTATCTATAGCACAGAAAAACAGTAAAGCATTAATTTTAATACTCAGAATATTAAACAAGGAGTTTCTAGATAACTGAA